ACATTTGTCATCTCTGGATGCAGATGGTGGTCAAGTAGATTCTTCCTAGACTCCTAGGGTGGTTGGGCTGGAGCGTTACCACTTGATTTCAGGGGATAAACTGCCCCCAAGCAAGTCTGGTACCAATTTATAGACACTAAATAGTTGACTCTTGGAGAGATCGAACCAGTATCATGCTTGTGATGATAGGCATTACTACCGCTGTGCCCAACGCTCTTTAGCGGGATATTACGTATCGAGGAGTTATGGCACTGATCGTGAGTTGGACATTAGACTGTAAATGTTAAGACAGCTTTTCCTCCTACAACGTTTTAGAGATATTCGTAAAGCAAATGTTTGAAAGCAATCGTGCAACAAAGGTATTTTCATAAACACAACAGAAACACACACTGCTGAATCTCACGCTATAACGGAAAGGACGTAAGTGTTCATCAACTATACTTGCTCGCTCAGGTGCAAAAATTCACTTTTTTAACTTTAGGCGATTCCTAGCAACTATTGAATTCTAAAGGCTTGGGTAACTGGATGTGCATAAGAACTAATATAATTTCGCATAATTACAGAGCATTTCAATGCGACATGTCATAAACTTCACATACAGTGAAAACCTCAGATCCTAATGTATTCGGTTTAATATAAAACTCCAGGATTTATTTTGAAAACTCATTCTTGACATAAAACTATTACACAGAAACTCTAACTCCTCAAACAGACTAGCGATTAAAAAAATGTTGAAAACTGTTGATGAACAGTCATTACATGGAATGTGTGGCAAGCATTTTGTTGTCTTGTAAGCGTTTCATCACTGTCCGGCTATGAATAACCTTGAAGTTCTCTCATTCATATTCCACCTTTTGCTCATGTGAACGTCTCCTTTAGTTACGGTAAAAGTATGAAAAAATACGAGGCAACAACACTGTAAAAATGGGGTGGTCTATTTGCAAGGTTGCCGTGCAAACAACCACAGCGACTTCGCTTACTATCTAACGGCCAAGGCTAAGAATATAAGTCTAATTTCGAAAATTAAAATATAAAGGCCTAATCATCATATTTATACGAAGAAAATGAGAGAACACATCATGATAGATGACAGAACAATCGATAATGGCAAATGTGATCTTCGGTGAAATTACGTAGAACTTGAGAAATAGGAGAAATCAGTAGATCATTGAAAAACCGACGAAAAAAGTGAAATATCTGAAATTTCATCGTTCCCCTAGCTCTTTCGTATAACCTAATCTAATGATTTCAGTCTCAAACTACAAACACGAAAATTTGGTGCCATGATTACCCCAGGTTTATAAGAGGGTTAACTGTGGCAGACAATGGAAACCCGAACCCTCTTATGAGACCTCACTGTCAAAGCTGATTCATCTTCAGCAAATGTAAATACTACCAAATCCAACTTACTAATGGCGCAAATAATCAGATCTGCGCTGTTGTTGTTTTGATCCATTTTTTTCCGTCATTGCTTGATCGCTTATTATTCTGAAAAGACTGAACTAACACTTAGCAAGTTATCCAAAAATTCGCCAGCTTATCGATGTATTGATACGGATTGCATATGTAAACCTCCGCATATAATAGGCCTCCAACTAACTTTCCTAATTTGATCCAAAAATTCAAAAATTTATTTTTCGAAGAAGTTAAAACCATCAAATAACAATGAATATTCTCGGTCAGCCTGAATGCAATTTTGCCAACTCTCCAGCAACGAATCAGTTCAGCGCTTAACATATTTTTGCACATACCTGTCCAACAATAGCCTCGTCACGGGTAGGCATGCGCAACTTACTGCTTGACGAATTTTAATTGAGACACATTTTTCAAACTGCATTTGTCAACATCAATCGTGCAAAGGCCACCTAGCTGTCTGTGGAACTACGGCATGTGGATGCTATACAAAGTTCGCAATGGAGATACTGATTTGGCCGATTAGTAAAGATCCGGAAAACCGCGTGAATTTGATTAAGAAGCAATCATTGAAGCGATTGAAAAAGATCCGAGTCTGTCAACCGGTGGCTTGGCTGATAATTTCCACAGTTCAGATAAGCAGATCCGGAAGATTTTTAAAGACGCAGTCAAAAAATGACGCGAGATCAATTGGATTAAACACGATCTCACCACACAAGCTCAATAAAGAGCAAGAGAAAGCAAATCGCGCAAGCTCATCTTCGTCGTCATCGCCGCTCTTCGTTTTTGAACAGAGTTGCCATCATTGATGAGAAGTGGATCTTCTTCAAGAGCCAGCCCCGTTCATATCAGTGGATGTCAACTGGTCAGCAAAGAACATCAACACTGAGACCCTATCGATTTGTGCCAAAAGCAGTGTTGATCATTTTCTGAGATCGAAGTGGCCGATTCATTTGGACTTGTTACAAGCCGGCCAGATCATCAACGCCGGGCGATATTGTCAGCAACTGAACCGTTGCAATCAAGCAATTCCACCTCACCGCCGTCGCCATGCCATTTTGCTTCAAGACAGTGAAAGCCACACGTAGTGCCAACAAAATAAGGAAGATGTTGGCCGATTTGGGCTGGGAGCACTTGGATCATCTGCCATATTCGCCAGAAGTCTGCCGCCGTTCAATTTTCATTCATTCAGATCATTGGAGCAATGGTTGGACAACAAGAAGTTTCGAGACAAAAGTCATTAGCGTCGAGATTTGACTGATTGGTTTGCACTGAAGAAGAATGAATTTCATGATCGCGGAATTGATTTGTTGCCGGAGCGTTGGGAGAACTACATTCAGGCAGACGGATAATAACCTGTACCAGCTGTCGCGCCGCTGATCGTCGAGTGACTCGAGCGGAGTACCATCAACACTTGCATTTCTCCTATCGCGTGCAGGATCAGCCCAGTGGGTCCTCCTCGCTCTAGGAATTCACTGAGCATCATATCTTCCATCTATGCCTTTTGTGAAGAAATCGAACCATCGGGTTGGTGGTCTTCCTGTGGAGCGCTTGATATCCTGAAGAATTCAATCGGTGGCGGCTCTCGTCCATCGGTTATCGTTGAAGCGCATCACGTGTCCGGCCCACCTTGTTTACGATATCTTGGCGTGTAGAACGACGTCTTTGATCTTCAAGATTTGACGTAGGTCAGAACTTCGGATACTTTCTCACATTTGCGTCATACGGAATACTCCTAAAGTCGACTTATCGATTGCGCGTTCTATAATGCCATGTGATTTTTCATCCTACTTACGTAGCGGCCACGTTTCTGCTTCATACGTTGAGGCAGGAATAATCCTCGAGTCGAATAGGTGGGCAAGGAATCGGATGCTCTTTGTACTCTTCACCACATCTTCGATGCTCTTAAACGTTTCTTAAGCCGCTCGTTTCCTCCTGCTCAACTCTAGAACTAGGTCGTTCATCATGCTTATTTCATGACCTGGATAGACATAACTGGAGCATTCGAAGATGTTCGCTCCCTTGAGCGTGAATGGGGCACTCAAAACCAACCCGTTCCTCATGGACATAGCTTTCGTTAAATTTAGTTGGAGGCCAATCTTTCCACAGGCGTCGTCGAAATCAATCAACATTCACTCCGCTTGGCTGATGCTTAGTGTCATGAAGACGATATCATCAGCAAAGCGAAGATAGTATAATTGTCGACTGCCAATTTTCACTCCCATATCATCCGTTCTATTATTGGCATGGTGTCTTGTAGGGTGGCAGTAAATAGGCAAAATGTATCGCCTTGTCGAACCCCTCTTTTTGGTGAAATTGTTGTATTATGGAGATATTTTGGTCGGAAAATCTTTATATAGCCCACGAAGGGTCGTTATGTGCTAAGTAGGGACGCCCTGGCTATCCGGAGCCTCTATAACCGCTTCTGTTTCCACCTTCAGGAGCTCTCCTAGGTCCAATTTTTTCGTTAAAATCTCCAACTATGACCCTGAGAATTTATGGTCTTCTCCGAGGAGTTTTTTGGGGCCCTTGTAATACGCTTCAACTTCATCTTCGCTATAGCTTGATGCTGGTGCGTAAGCAAAGAAGATGGTCAAAGGTGGCTGCGTACCACTCGATCCTCTTAGAAAGATTAAAACACTTACTTTGAAAAGAACGTGTCAACTCGCTGTATAGGGTAAATATACATTTGATCACCTCTATGGTTCTCTTGACAGACTTTGTGTAGCAGTTCTTAAGCGAAACAACTGCTATTTTTTCTTATCTCTTATGCTGTTGACTATCTTGTGTCTACTTACAGATAATCACTATGGTTGTTCGTTACGAGTGAGTCATATGATCGGGTCGAGTTTTTCACACCAACTGGCCGATGCATTCGCGTATCAATAACCAGTTTATGTTTCAAACACCTGCTGGCCGTGTGTCCGCGCAGCACAAAGACTCGTGTCACTCAACTGGCAACCAAGAGGTGTTTCCCATAGAATTTGGGCAGTGTTGTGCTATATAGCTATTCACTGTTCAAACCGAAACTGAATCTTGGGAAAGAGTCAAGTCTCCAGCAGCTCCATTCGTCCGTAGACTCTATTTGGAGCTCGGCTGCAACTTCCACCTCTCTTGGCCCTAGATTATCCTGGTCATAACGTACTGTAGTTCATGTCGCTGTATAATGTTCATGTGAATAGTTATTGCTCCTTACAATATCTAGTTCCTCTCATTCATCTAGATATCTGGGTTTCGGGGCATGTTACCGCTAATCTCACAACTAATGCATCATCATGTACTGTTAACATTGCGTTACATCTCGTGATTGTAGTTTCCTCAATTGCAGTTATGCTGTAATTGTTAGTTGTTATAGGTTGTTCGTTACAGCAATGGATATGGTTCGTTTATCTCAGGATCGACTCTGTCCTTCATCTAATAAATAGTAAAAGACCCTCATGGCAGAAAAATTAAAACAATCGAGCGGCCCTTACGGCACACAACACACATCCACTCACAAAAGGCAACAAGCCTAACTACTCTAGTACAATCACCAATAAACCTGAACCAATCCTAGGCAATCTTCACTGATGAACCAATGCATAGGGTGCACTGGCTGAGAATTGAACCGAGGTCGCCCGCGTGGCAGGCGACACTGGCCGAGAATGGGGTCGCCCGCGTGGCAGGCGAGGATTCCACCACTGAACCACCAATACCTGTGGGTGTGACCCTTTCCCATGATTCTGTTTCAGTTTGAACTATGAATAGCTGTTTAGCACAACACTGCCCAAATTCTATGGGAAACATCTCTAGGTTGCGAACTGAGTGACACGAGTCTTTGTGTTGCGCGAACACCCGGACGGCAGGTGTTTGGAGCATAAATTGGCTACTGATGCGCGAATGCATGGCCAGTTGGTATGAGAAACTCGACACGGGTTATAGACTCACTGCGCAACAAACAGTCATCGTGATTATCTGTAAGTAGATACATCGATAGTCAACAGCATAAGAGATAAGAAAAAATAGCAGTTATTTTGCTTAAGAACTGCTATAACGCTATTAATGAGAAATTGCTCCGAATTACAAATGAAATCACGTCGCATTGGAATATGTACTGCCATTTTTAACAAACGTTCCATTCTTTTCTACGTGTTGTGGCATATTTCAATCACAAATAGTCTTAATGAAGTCTCCTCTGTCATATTGCACCATTTACTGACGTTCTAATCGTTTACAACAGAGATAGTAATCTAAACTTCATCAGGAAAGTACCACATTGCCACTGGAGTGTGCCTAGTCAGCCATTATTCATAGCCGTCTGAAGTACCCGTCACCAAAAACTGCCGTCCGAGAAGATTTGATAAACTAAGTTGTGAGATATGATATTTAAACCTATTCCCTACATTACGACATTAATTTCGCACGAGGCAATCGCGCGAGAAGCGCCCTTTAATGAAAATGTTGTAGCTATCTAATGAAACATAGACTTCTAACGCCAACGAATGGAGATTTATTGCCGATCAATGATAAAATATGACAGAATATACCTCAATAAGGCAATTATAGTAAAAAAAAAAACGCCAACGCCTTCTTTGAAATCTCACATTTTACATCAGGCATAGTAAATACTCACAAAAAGGTTCTTTTGCAAATGCTATCGACCATTTTAATGCCGGTTTGCATATAATTATTTAGATTTTAATCATGATTATCATCTAATTCGTGTGTTAGCAACAATTCTCTATAGACCGGCGCAAATGAATAGATAAACATATAATTAATTATGTTATCTTTTGTTATACTGAAATGAAATATTGCAACATGAACCTTTTAGTTTGCTTATACTCTTATTCCATATGTTGCACAGAGGTCATCAGTGTGCTCGAATATTAGAAATCAATGGATAGTTTGCCAAAAACATCGCAGCTACTTTTATCATTATTGTGCTTTCGATGTTAAGACTTCAACAGATTCGTAAGAGAGACCTTGTTTTATGCGTTTAGGTCGATAACTTTTTATATATCTACTTACACTATACCATAAACATTGTTCGTCGCTGCAACCTTTATCACTGGTCAAGCAAACTCGCTTTACGGACTATACCTAATTCCTCTTAGTTCAGAAAATCCTCGAAATAGTTTCTTGCACCTCGCTCAGTTTCCACCACTGCAACTTATTTTAATGTGACGACAAGCAGATAATTTTGAAAGGAGAACAGTACGTCAAAAAGTTTTGAGTCCGCACAACTTCTTTTGATGAGTGTCCTCTTCTATTTATACCATCATTTATACCATCAAGGTGTATGCAAGAAGGATCAATTCTCTGCAGATTTTTTGAAGCTATAATAGCAAGAGTTGAGTGAAAGAGTGTGCCTGAGCTAGTTTCGCGAACTTTCCTTGGCAGATGATTTATCAGAGCCAAAAAAGTCACCAAAAAGGAAAGATTAGACTAAATCCAAGAACGCAGTGCAAAACGATTGGATCAGCAATAGTCTGTGATGCAGAAGAAATTACAGGCCATAATGAAAATTGATATTACAAATAGCGACATCTCATGGTCATCACCAATATGATTATGCATTACAATATCAGTTGGCCAACATTTATTAAGCCACACATTATATGTGTGATTGGAGTTCTCTCTCATCAGCGAGGTCCTCTTTGGGCACATCAGCTCTCTTCGTGGCGATAACAAAGTAGACTCGATCATGCCCATTAGCGGCGCTGTGCAGTGTTGTCTTGCGTGCGGAAGAAACTGATAACTTCTTCTGAGAAAATCAATCGATAATTGGTCGATAAATCTGCACCTCAATCAATCGTTAACATAAAATTTGTCCTCTATTGTGTCTTATCATTCCTATCTCATTCGGATTTCCTAATGGATTACCATTGCAAAAATGGATTTATTAGAATTATATGATGTATGGAATTTTGGAAATAGTTCAGGTTACTAAGGGCATTGAGACTTTTTTACTTACTCAAACATCTAGATAACAGGCCTTCAATGATGTGTAGGCCTCAGCTTTCATTTGCACCTTTCTCGCGCAACTATCGCCCACGGTAGTTGCCTTCTTTGAAAAGTATGTATACAAGGTTTCATTAAAAACATCCTCTTTAAACCACATATTTTTTTCTTCTTTCACGATGGTAGTACTTCTTGTCCAGCTACTTTGATTCGAATCTTTGTACGTAAAGACGGTGATCAAGTCCACTACGGCATCCATGCTTTATTGAGGCATCAAAAAGGCGCTGTCTTCTGTGTGGACCATGTGCGATCATCGCATGATTTCTTCCCTTTGAACACTCTCATGTCCATCGGTAAAGTTCCTCTTTTCTTGAACAAGAATCCTCAAAAAAATTCTCGTTTGATTTTTCTATTCCAGACTTTTCCATCTCTATCCAATTTCACTGGTCCTTTATAATTTGCCGTTGAAGTCTTCAACAAGTAAATTGCCGAAGAACTATTTGCTGCGAACGACTTCCTCTTGTTTGTTGTAAAACGTGCCTAATTGATTTGCTGTACAGTTGGTAAATAGCAGTTGGTGATATTGACTTTGAAGCGAAGAAACAAAGACTAGCCAGGAACGATTATAAGATTCTGTGCTCTATTATTAGATGCGATATAGATGGTTGAGCGACGAAGCCAGTGCATTCTGCTCTACGTAACAAAATTTCCACCTCATGAATATTGCTAACCTGTCAACCAACAAGAGTATATCAGTCCTTCCACTTCACGTGCCTTGTTCGGCGATTACGTGAAGTATTTTGTCACCAATGCTCCCAAGAAGCGGAAAGACAGCGGCATCTAAAGAGGCTTACTGCGTGTGTCAGAACCAAAACATAGTTGGCGTGCTCGTTTCGTTCTTCTTTCAATAGTATTCTGTGCATCGTGAGATTTGATCGCCTCCGTCGTCTGACTTGTCGATCAGTTTTGTAAACGAGAACATCCAATATGTCCCATAGTGGGATTCATCTAATTAACGTGATTACCTAGTCTTGGGGTCAACACATAATATGTCTTCCTCAGATCGACATCACCACGAACAATTACCGGCATTCGTGCTTCTAATAGAGACTTATCACCTCGTGACTAGTTCATACAAAAGCGATGGTAATCCTTGGCATTAGTTCACTAGGCTGATTTCCCGAGCAAAACTTAAGGCTCCCTCTCAACTTCAGAGATCTTGATAGGGGAAAGCGGCGTGGAAACCTTCAGCTGTTTATCACATCAATGTCCAACATATGAAAACGCTATCACAGGCGATGAAGCAGTAAACCACTGAGAGAAAAAACCAAGGACACTTTCACTTGAAAATTTCCCACGTATAGCGAATTTGAAAGAAATACCGTCATTATTATTAAGACAGTTTCTACAAATCGTATGGTTATGTCTTGAATCGATCACCGTCAGCATGCGAGTGTTGTATAGACCTCCACATGGTCCATCACACCGCATCAAATTACTCAGCGAAGTTAAAAGAAAATACATGTTAGCTCTGAGAATTCAATATTACCTGGAATGACTAAGTAACTCGCTTTTTTCATGAGCAGACATCGGCTTGCCTGAAGCTAGATTTATTTATGTCAGTATTGGTCAAGTTTCAATGTTTTTCTCTTGTAAGCCACGAAACGTCAAGTTGACACCCAGCTACTAGGACAGTCACCTCCATAACCGCAGCAGAATAAACTTTGTCAGACTTTTTGGCATAGCAGTCAGCTTCTTTTCTAAATATTCAACATTCTGTCATCTCTGGATCATCAAGTCGTTTGATAAGGAACAGCCTCACACAATTTTACGTACGCCAGGAGTGCGCTCGGTATAGGTCAGAAAAAAACATCCTGAGGCATGGAGCAAGGTGAACTGTGATCGCAAGACACTCCTTGCATTATACCACTAAGTATTCTAAGGCATCAACTAGTTCATAAGCGATGGCAGACCGCTTATTAGAAAATAAAAATCCCATTCATCAAACCTAACCTTAGAGGTGATAATTGCAGGTGTTGAGGACAGCGTACCTAATCTCTTGTAGAGCATTCGGTAGCCATACGCTAACTAAACAGGTACAGCTCTCCACATCTATATAAATGAGTATCCAGCTGTAAGTTCAGAGTCATGTAACGCGCTTCATTAAGAAGGCATAGGGCGCAAAGATATAGCGGAGTACATTTTTGTGGAAAATCATTATTTATTATAGATACAGCGCAACTGACGAGGTTGTATAAGCCAAGAAAGTGGTCTTACACTGTGTAAGTGTCCACAACAGACTTCACCAGAGGTTCAAAATACATTCTCAGATCATACTGTACTTGAGCGAGGGCGCAAAATAGTGGATTGCAATGTTTGTAACATATGCCCACAAAAATTCTCCGAGCAGTCATTAATCAGTCTCACTCGACACTCTGGAAGAACGACACGCTGAATGTTTTACGGCACGTCGAGTGTGAAAAGTTTGTCGCCAATCCCTCTGTACAGATGTAGATGCCCGACTATTTGATTAACCGTAAAGGCGCTGTGCGGCAGATGGGGCTGTATGGCCGAGACCCGTGTCTTTCAGTGCATAGTTGCCCATGACGGACTTTTTTAAAGACATAAAATACATTGTCAGAAAATCATTATTGCTGCAAGAAGATCTGCTGCTTCGACGCTTACAACACATGGATCAATTTGAGTAAATTCCAAGAACCCAAAATTAACCCAAAAATGGTTCTGTGACAAG